ATGTTGTCAAGATACGCTCAGCCTTTCTGGTTCAGGAGTGTGGAGCACCTGGCCCAGCCCTCTCATCTGCCCCGTACTCCGTGCACAGCTGCACTGCCTCCTTCCGGGGAGAGGACTCCACGATGCTGCATCCAGTGACGCAAGACATTTCCACCCCTGCCTCCTGGCTGCCTTATAGGCATCTTCCCAGCCCAAGCCTGCGTGGCCGTCACAGGGCTCTCTGCTCAGATCCTGGCTCCCACTTGCCGAACTCGCAGGAAGCAGACGAGGCAAATGCCCAATTTATGAAGTTAAAACTCTCCTGTGGGTCAAATGCCAGGTTGCTTTTTTAAAACCTGCCTATGCTGTTGCATACTTGGCAAAGAGCAGAAATCACCTAATGGCTTCCCGGTACTTTCCGTACCTTCCTGCATTTGTACGGGGTGTGTGTGTGTGTGTGTGCCTGCCCTATCAGGCTGGTGTGTATGTGTGAGTGTGAGTGTGAGTGTGTGTGCATGCACTACACTTTTCAGTGTGTCATTTTTCCATTTGATTGAAAGGCAGAAAGATGATGAGGGGTTTGTTGGATAATACCCTGTTTATTCTGTATATATACACCCAGTTAATAGTGTTTTTTAAAAAAGGTTTTAAAACCATGAACCCTTCCAGGGCTTCGCTGCACTCCCCTTTATTTGTTAAGAGAAAGGCCATGTGTATGTCAGACCTAGAGCAAGGGTGTGAGGGGCATTTTCAAATGAGACTTGAGCAGACTGCTTTACCTTGCAGAGAAAGGCAATTGCTTGCAAATTGTTTTCTCCTGGGCTGAGCCAGGGTAGCGTTCTCTTTGGCTTCCTCGTAAAGAAAATGGTCCAGGGTTCTGGAAACCACAGTTGCTGAACCTCAGACGATGCCTCCTTTCTCTCAGCTCATGTAGCAGTTACTAGACGAGGCTGGTGTGATGTGGCGTGTTTTTCCTTTCCGTTTTTTTTTTTTTCCTTTTCCATCTTGCTGGCTCATTGGTTGGTGCACTCTCCAAGGGCCTTGGAGGGCTGTGTTCCCAAAGGAATTTATGACAGTCAGCAGGGACAACTGACATTTGAGCTGGTGTCAACCCTGGATCCCCTGACCCCCTGCCCCTGCCTCCTGTCTCTGTTTCTGCATTATGGAGCCTCGTTGCTACCCAAAGATGTGGGCCAGCAGCAAGAACAGCTCATGCTGGGGTAGACATTAGGCACAGCTGCTTACATTGCTGCCTGGGATACTCGCGTTCTGTATCTGAGTGCCTCGTTTGAGTCCCAGATGCTCAGCTTCTGATCCAGCTTCTTGCTGATGTGCACCCTGGAGGCAGCAGGTGATGGCTCAGTACTTAGGTCTCTGCCACCCATGTGGGAGACCCACATGGAGTTTCTGCCTCCTTGCTATGGCCTGATCCAGCCTGGGCTGTTGTGAGCATTAGGGAGTGAACCAGTAGATGGAAAGCTCTTTGTCTGTCTGTCTCTTTGCCTTTTAAATAAAATGGGCGTGGGGAACCCCTACAGTTCATCCTGACATTGCCACGCCTATTTTGCAAGACACATTCCCCTCCTTTGTAGATGTTAATAGAATAAAGGCTGGCACTCAGACCCTACCTTGTGTGTTGAAAGAAGCACAGTGTGCAGGCTGCCTTGAATGGAATCAGCTGCCTTTTCACCAGCTCACTGGGCCAAGGGGTCTGTGACCAAAAGCACACAGAGCAGAAAGAGGCAGCCTGGGGTGGCTCTGGAAGAACAGGGAGCCTGGCTAACCATGGCTTCCTCTCCCCAACCATCTTCTACCTTTTGTTCTACTCCAGCCAGGCATTGCAAGCAGGCTGTATTAGGGGAGTCACCTCTGCCTGCATGTGCGCTGTCACCGCCGGCCGCAGAGGCTGGCCGAGAGGCAGCGCGTGCCTTTGCCATCGTCGCACCCTCACGCAGAAGCACACTCCCCAGCCACTGCTCTTCGTGACCTAGGATTTAGCTATTCAGGCCAAACATGTCATATACTTACTGCATAAGAATTTATCTTGCCCCGCCTTGCTCCGCAGCCAGCCTCCTATTTCATCAATGACTCCATGGACTGTAAGCCCCCAAGGCCAGGGACAGTGTCTTCTTCTTTTTTTTTCTTAACTTTTTAAAAAGATTTTATTTATTTGAAAGAGTTACACAGAGAGAGGAGAGGCAAAGAGAAGTCTTCCATCCACTGGTTCACTCCCCAATGGCCGCAATGGCTAGAGTTGCACCTATCCGAAGCCAGGAGCCAGGAGCTTCCTCCACGTCTCCCACACAGGTGCAGGGGCCCAAGGACTTGGGCCATCTTCCACTGCATTCCCAGGCTATAGCAGAGAGCTGGATCGAAAGAGGAGCAGCTGGGACTAGACCTGGCGCCCAAATGGGATGCCTGTGCTTCAGGCCAGGGCGTTAACCCACTGCGCCACAGCGGTGACCCCCGGGGACAGTGTCTTCTAAGTGTCAGCATCCACACAGGACCAATAGTGGGTGCTTTTGCCCTCTGTGCCTTTAGTTCACTGCTTTTTGTGTGCCAGCCAGAGCCAGGCATTGATGAAACCAGGGTGAAGAAGAAGACCCTAAATGTGACTTAAGGCTTGGTGGGACCTGCAGGCCAGTAAATAGCATACATAGCTGTGGGATGACACTGGAGCACATCAAGTTACTGATGAGCTTCTTATCATCACTACCTGGTAAAGCGAAGGTGCTTGTGGACTCAGCTGGGAGCAGAGGGTGACTTTCTGGAGCCTCAGCCGTAGTAGCAGTGCCTCTCAGGGCATTGAACCCAGGCAGGAGTGGTACAGGGCCATTTGCAACCACCAGTTAATGTATTATCTGATAACGGAGTCATTGGGTCTAGGATACAGCCCAGGATCCAGCGTTTTAAATAGGTGCCCTAGGTCGCTGTGGATCTCTGCCACAGGCTGTTCTTTTTTTTTTTTTTTTTTTTAAATATTTATTTATTTATTTGAAAGTCAGAGTTACACAGAGAGAGGAGAGGCAGAGAGAGAGAGAGCGCGGTCTTCCATCCAGTGGTTTACTCCCCAATTGGTTGCAACGGCTGGAGCTGAGCCAATCCAAAGCCAGGAGCCAGGAGCTTCTTCCAGGTCTCCCACGTGGTTGCAGGAGCCCAAGGACTTGGGCCATCCTCCACTGCCATCTCAGGCCATGGCAGAGAGCTGGACCAGAAGTGGAGCAGCTGGGACTAGAACTGGCATCCATATGGGATGCTGGCGCTTCAGGCCAGGGTGTTAACCTGCTGAGCCACAGCACTGGCCCCTATTTATTTATTTGAAAGTCAGAGTTACACAGAGAGAGAAGGAGAGGCAGAGGTAGAGAGAGAGAGAGGTCTTTCATCCACTGGTTCACTCCCCAGTTGGCTGCAATGGCCGGAGCTGCACCGATCCGAAGCCAGGAGTCAGGAGCTTCTTCCAGGTCTTCCATGTGGGTGCAGGGGCCCAAGGACTTGGGCCATCTTCTGCTGCTTTCCCAGGCCACAGCAGAAAGCTGGATGGGAAGTGGAGCAGCCAGGACTTGAACCGGTGCCCATATGGGATGCCGGCACTGCAGGTGGCAGCTTTACCCGCTGCACCACAGCACCGGCCCCCACAGGCTGTTCTTATTGTACCCCAGGGAACAGCTTTCCTAACTCACCCTAGCTGATAGAGGTGCAACACCCACATGTGCACACACCAAATGTTCTAAGCAAAGGTAGGGCATCGGGTACCTGCCACTATGCTGGGTGCTAGGGATTCATCAATGATACTGCCTGTGGCCTGGTAGCTCCCTGCATGAGCTGCTGGGGGGAATGCTCAGACAGAGGGAATCAGGGCTGCACGGGGGCTCAGAGAAAGGTCATTAAGCCAGTGGAGGAGGATCTGTCAAGAAAAGCTTTCCCGAATGGACCCCAGGGCTGAGCCTTAAGCTGAGAAGGCAGCTGAGGCATTCCCAGCAGAGAGGGCGGTGTGTCGGGAAGCGCAGACGGGCAGTTGGCTGCTGCCTGCGTGTACAGTGTCGGGCAGGGAGTGGGTGGTGTGGGAGGCTGAGTTCTTTCATTCTCCCCTGGACACCGTGACCTGAGGATGGTGGTAGCTTTGACAAAACAGCTTCCAGAGGCTCGTTTGTCTTGGAAGCTGACAGCTACCAGATCCAGCTGCTGTGACTCAGACCAAGGCGACTCTGTAAATACTCATTCACAGGAAAATTCTCATACCGAGGGAGAAAGAGCAAGGACCATTCCGTCGGGAGAGTCTCTCGTTCCCAGGCCAGGCAAGCCATGAGGGAGAAGATGGGGGATTGATGTTGGGAGGAATCTAATGACAGTGATTGGAAAGTGTCTTCTAGATGGCAAACTAGTGTCTTCCCATAGCTTCCCCCACAGTCAGTGGGTGGTGGGACCTCAGGGTGCTGTGTTGACAGCAACTCCATGGCCAACTCTGAGGCCAGAATTGACTGGGTCTGCCACAGGTGCTGGGGCTGGGGTGTGGAAGGGCAGCATACAAGGCTTGGATTTACCAGCCTGGCTCCTGATTTTAACTTGTGGCCCCTATCAATTCAGTTGTCTCCATTCCTGGAGCCCACATGCAGGGCTCACCACCAATGGGGTTTCATCTTGTGAGTTTTGACTCATTATTCCAGCCCTCAGAAACCTTGCTGGTCCTGACTCTTACTCGACGTCTTAACGATTCCTCCCAACATTGTTCGTAGCCGTGTAGAGAGAACCACATGTGCCCCCAGAATTTGGAAAAATGTTTGGAAAATATGCTAGCAAGTGGGAAATGGTTTCCTAACGAGTCCAGGGTTTATCCTAGACTCATTAAGTAGTCCAGGGTGTCTCCCTAATAAAATATTAGCAGGTTTTCGGGATATTCCCCGGTGATTCTTTTGGAAGCTGCGAACAGAGTGTGACTGACTCAAAGAAAGCCATAGCTCATCAACTGCTTTGTACAATGTCTGGTGTGAGGTAATGTAGCAGCTGGTGACTGACTAATAAGGGAATTGGAGAGGCAAAAATTGATTATGGGGTTTCCATCCCCAGCCAACGTCCATGGCACACCAATCAAGTGCCCCACCTACAGGGAAATTACAAGTCAAGTTGCAGTAGGACAAACATCAAAAATGACCCAAATTACCTCTGAAGTCTCACTGAATCGCCTGTATTCTCCCAGTGCTGGTGACGGCCTGGAGGCTCCTGGGGACAGGCCACAAGAGGGGCAGCAGGGCCACATCACAGGCATCTGTGTCCATAGGGCATGGTGGTGGGCAGCACCGTGGTGCTGTGTTACATGGTGGTCTTGCTCACAGTCTGTGTCTTTGTCTTTCCTTGACAAGCCCACCTGGTTCAATGTACATAAAGCAAAGGCTCATAAGGTGCAACTGCCCTGTGTGTGGACGTGCTAATTTTATATTCTTAGAATGGGAGATCCATACCACTGTCATAGCTGAGAATATTTCTTACACTCTTTGTATTTCCTCAGCTCTGATCCTGTGCCCACCCAGCCCCCTCCATCCCAGATGTGGCTTTTTCTGGAAGTTCATGTGCAGACTGTTGACATGGCCAGCCATGTCTGCCCACCCTTCTTTTTTCTCACAAAAAAGTAACAAGTCAGCACTTAGAGGCAAGCACTCTGTCCTAGGTGTGAGTAGCTCCCTTACCTGTATTTGGTCTCGAAGAAGCAGATCCAACTGAGTGCTTCAGCCTTTGTTGCAGAGCACCAGACTCTGAAACCAGGTTGGCAAAGTAATTCCATTTCATGTGCCAGCTCTGTAGATCGTCTGTAGTACCTGGAATGTGGTGTTGAAAGATCCGGGGGCTGAGTCCAGGCTGAATGGGAGATGGCCAGAATTGATTAGTAATGTCTGCAGGGACAAACAAGGACATTGCTAAGCTTGCCATAGAGCCTGGGTGTCTGTGCCAAGAAGTGGTCAACCCTTCCCACTCTCATTGTCCCCCTCCACATATCGTTTAGAACCCTCACTCAAGATTGGCTTGATACAGTGACATTCACCACCCACAGCACACTCTGCCTATCTATCCAGCCTGCCTGCTTTATTATGCTCTATTATTGTTCTGTGTATGATTGCCTTTGATAATTGGGAGCCCTTTGCAATAGGTACCCATTAAACATTCGTTGAATGGTTGGCTCTACCTAACTGTTCCACAGACATGGAATGTTCACTTCTGCCTCACTCGAGCCAATCCTTTCCCTTGCTGAGATGCAAACTATAGGTTTCTCTGGCTCCTATTCTGTTCTGTTCTAGGAATTCAAAGGAAACATTGCCTGCTTTCTTTGCCCTCCTAAGCTCCTGCTGGCTCCTAATGATCATGATTTTCTCCATCTCTCTCATCAGAGAACAGCTTTAATTTTCTCCCTATTGTACCCTTGTGAGCTGTTGTTTTCTCTGCCTCTTTATAACATTTTACTCTTATTTCTAATCATGTTTCACAGTGTTTCTGGTCACTTTTGGTAATTCTTTTTTTTTTTTTTTTTTGACAGGCAGAGTTAGACAGTGAGAGAGAGAGACAGAGAGAAAGGTCTTCCTTCCGTTGGTTCATCACCCCCAAATGGCCCCTCGGCTGGCGCGCTGCACTGATCCGAAGCCAGGAGCCAGGTGCTTCCTCCTGGTCTCCCATGCGGGTGCAGGGCCCAAGCACTTGGGTCATCCTCCACTGCCTTCCCAGGCCACAGCAGAGAGCTGGACTGGAGGAGGAGCAACCAGGACTAGAACCCAGGGTGCCGGCGCCGCAGGTGGAGGATTAGCCTAGTGAGCCGTGGTGCTGGCCCACTTTTGGTAATTCTTTAAAAAAACCTCTGCTTATTACAAGAGCAACCTTAGCTCTTGGCTCCGTCCACCGTCCCCAGCACTACCCTTGCGTGTTGCTGAGTTCCATTTCCGTATGAAGCACCTCTCAAGAGCTTTGGCTTTCTTTTCTGTAGTACTCTTATCTTCCACGAGATCTTGGCCATGTGCTTCTCTTTTCTAGACTCTGTGATTACAGTAACTTCAGTTCCTCCCTCAACTCAAAAGGAACCTCCTGTCCTCCGCTGCACTTCCAATATTCCAGCTACAACAATTCTGTGACCTTGTTCGGACTTTCAGTCCATCGATCCTGCTATCTCTTCATTGCCCTTCATATCCTTATTTCCTCTGTCTCTACTTCCCCAGCTCTAACTCCCTGGGAAACCATGGCAGTCACTGCCTTTGCCATGCTCCCGACTTACCCTGATGACCTTGCTTGCATCCAGCTTCTGCCTGCTTTTCCCCTTCTACCTGCACAGCTAAGTGTGGCTGCAGCAAAAACGCACAACCAGATCAACTGTTCCCAGTTACATTTCACGATTACTTCCTTCAAATAGGTCTTGAATGCTGCCTGAAAACCATTTTCTAGTTCCCTAATTGATTTACTCTCCCTACTGTCCTAGAAACCGTTATGGTTTTTCTCTTGTATCATTAAATTTTTCACGGTTCCTTTGGCAAGGAACCCACAAACCATCTGCTTGTGGGAGCTCTGCTGGGCATTGATAGGAAGCTGCACCGTTTCTGAAGTCCGGTTCTCTGGGCCTTTGTCCATTGCCTGGACGTGTTCCTGTTCTTCCCCACAAGCCTCAAAGACCGGTGGCCACTGTCTGTCCATCACACCATCCAGTCCTTCAGCCTCCCAAGGGATCTTGCTCTTGCCGAGCTCCCAATAAGCACTTGTCAGGGGAATGAGAATGTGAATGACTAACAGCCTGATTTACTGGGCTGCTGCTATTCGGAAGGCAAGCATCTGTTTTCATTATTTGATGAATTTTTTTTCTTTAAAAAGGAATACAAACAGGCATTTAGAGAGGGAGAAGCACTTGGCAGTTGGCAGGCCAGTGTGAGCCATAGCGCTCGGGCCCTGATTCCAGGCAAGCAAAAAAAACTGACCCAGAGAGCCAGTCCAGTTCTGATGTATCTTGAATATTCTGGGGATGGCAGGTCTCAGAGGGTAAGATCCTTTCCCATCCACGCTGAGCGGAGCTTGCTGGCTAAGAGTGTGGGCTCGTCACTCTTAGTGCTAGCAGGGCAGACAAGAGGGGTTCACATCAGAGCTCTCTGCTTGCCAGGAAGGAGACCCTGAGCCAGTCGTCCCTCCCTCGGGACTCACTGTTGCCATCCGTGAAGAGGGAATCAGCTGCTTCTCAGAGGTGGTTGTGACGACTCAACAGGACAACATATAAGGCCTGCAGAACAAGGTCTGGCCCCTATGAAGTGCTCAACAAATACGAGCCATAAATTATTAATATGTTCTTTTTGAGTCTCACAACAGTCCTACAAGTATCATTATTCCCATTTTACAGAGGAAGAGACCGAGGAGCAAAAAGGAGAGTGGCAGAGGCTGAACCTGCACTAAGATCACGGGACTCCGTGGTTGGTCCTGTAGGATTTCAGAGTCCTTTTAGTCCCCAGATGAAACCACCGTGCCTTGTCATAGATATTCACATCGCTGCTTTCCCCAAACGCTGTTAGTCCATGGGCGTGGCTGAATGTAGCTGGAGCAGGAGAGGCTCTCGTGACAAGGCTGGAACCCCGAGAGCAGGAAAGAGCGCTGCAGCCGCACAGTGCCATCCCGCTGAGCTAGAAGAGGTGCTTAGGGTCATGCTGGCGCAGACTCCCTTTCTCTGCAAAGGTGAGAGCTAGCCATTGGCCCAGTGCCCACTTTGGAGTTCCACTGACAGTGCTGGAAGTACTACTGATGGAGTCCAGACCATCACTTTACAGCTAGAAGAATGACATTTTATTGCGTGCCCGTAAACTCTCTTCCGACTGCTACTGCAGTGGGGCAAAGGCAGGGACCTAAAGGAAGGTTGTTGTGTGTTTTTCTCCCCGGCCAAGGAGGCAGGGATGCCCCTGATCAGAGGCAGCGGTAATAGTGGGAGAGAAACGCACAGAGGGGAGTCTATTTTCTGGGGACATCTCTCAGCAGTCCCCGTGTGGAGAGCTGTGAGGCTTGGCAGAGCAGAGATTTCAGGGTGCACCCAAGTATTTGCAAAATTCCTGCCGTAAGTCCAGCTCTAGTGAGGATTTCCTGAGGGCATCCACAGTGGGATGCTGGGAAAGTCCCAGATCTGCCTGTAGGGGTCCCTGAGGCCTTGCAGAAGCAGAGTCATCTTTTTGAGCCTCACTTTCCCCTTCTGTAAAATGAGTGACCAAGATTTTATTAACCCAGGATCCCACGATTCCAAGTGTTTATGCTCCCTCATAGTGGCAAAGATGGGGGCTCTGGAATCCAGGACTCTGTTAGCAGGGACCATACCTGCTCTAGAACATCTTCACTTAATGGTTCTCATCTTCTCCTGGATTGCTCAGTCCCTTCCACCGGAAGCCTTTTTCACCACCCACAATTCCATTTAATTCCACAAAAGGAGTAACTCAGGAATAACTGTGTTCCAGCCACATGACTGCAAAGACAAATGCCATGAGTTTCCCAAGATTTGGGGACTTTGCAATGAGATGATGAGGCCAAGAATTCTCAGAATGTCTTTTATCAGAGATTTCTATATCTGCTAGACCAGACATTCTCAGAGAATGGTCCTTGGACAGCAACATTGATGCTACCTGGGAACTTGTTAGAAACACAGGTTTTCCGGCCGGCGCCGCGGCTTACTAGGCTAATCCTCAGCCTTGTGGTGCCGGCACACCGGGTTCTAGTCCTGGTCAGGGCGCTGGATTCTGTCCCGGTTGCCCCTCTTCCAGGCCAGCTCTCTGCTGTGGCCAGGGAGTGCGGTGGAGGATGGCCCAAGTGCTTGGGCCCTGCACCCCATGGGAGACCAGGATAAGTACCTGGCTCCTGCCATCGGATCAGCGCGGTGCACTGCCGCAGCGCGCTGGCCGTGGCGGCCATTGGAGTGTGAACCAACGGAAAAGGAAGACCTTTCTCTCTGTCTCTCTCTCTCACTGTCCACTCTGCCTGTCAAAAAAGAGAAAGAAACACAGGTTTTCAGGCACCACCCCAGACCTATTGATTGAATCAGAAGCTCTGGGGGTATGGCCAATGGATCTGCTTTTTGCACATCCTCCAGGGAGCTAGGATGCATGGTGAGGTTTGAGAATACGGAACCAGCCCTTCCAGGGACTTAGCTGTGACACTGTAGCTCTGAGACCCCCAGGGACCCAAGGAAACATCTTGAAGAGACTTGGTCACTTGGGCCGCCAGGACTTGTTGGTTTCAATGCAGAACCACAGTTCATTTGGAACCTCCAAAAACATTCTGAACCTTTGTGTGAGCATCCAGGCATTATAGAAGCTACCCGTTTGTTTTGGTGGGAATGAATCGAGTTTAACACACAATTCTGCGTGGCACCTTTCAATTGTGTATGATGCTTTGTGAATGCTTAGTCACACCCTGATGACGACCCAAGATAAAAATCTCAGTCCAAGGAGAACCCCTGCTTCCAAAGATCTTCTGAGGAGCCGAATTCTTGGGGGCCAGTGTGCACCTCCTCCCCTTGACAGGAGCCTCTAGTTAATGTGCTCCCCCATGGCAGGGTCTAAACCTGGGCCCTGCTCCCCTCAGTAGGTGGAAGTCACTGAGCTGTGTTCTCCCTGCAGGAAGCTCAGACAAGAAGGGCAGGGCCGGTGCAGCTCCTATGGGGATGAGGGTGGGAGTGGGCAGCCTGGGTCCTGGGAGTGTCTGGCCCTTGTCTTTCTGGACACCTGTAGATCTGTTGTTCACCGCTCTAGTCCAGGGCCTATGCTAGACTATGGGTACCTTCACGAACACTTGCGATGCAACCTTCTAGATGCTTCTGAGTGGACTCAGCCCCTGTGGGGTCAGGGTTTGAGTGGATTTTAGTTCCACTTCCCTTGTTGGGCAGGTGTGTGTAGCACTCATTTCACAGTGATGCCTGTAGCCTTGCTTCTGCCAGGCACAAGTGACAGCTGAGAAAGGAGAGCTGGGGTGGGGGTGGGGCAGGCATGTTGGCTATTTACCCGAATCATTTCCTAAAATTCTCACAACACACAAAAAGGTGAGAAATAGCATCATCTCTCTACATTTTTTTCTTTTTCCAAATCGTGAAAGATTTTCAAACTCTCGTTGCCTTCATATATTCATCTGTCCAGAAAATCAAGTGAGACCATTGTAATGAAAGTGCCCTGGAAAAAGAGATTTCAAAACCTACAAAGGTCGGGTTTTCTATTAATCGTATCACTGGGTCTTCCAAGGCAGTTTCTGGGGCCTCAGGTTTGAGAAAGCTCATCTTAAAATCCACCCAGCCCCCAGTGTTCTACATGACGGCAGTGGAAGGATGCTTTTCTGCCAGGCTGCTGGCGTTTGGGGCTGCCTCCTGCCCTATAGTTGTTACACTGGCGAGGCTGCCATGATGAGGTGTGTGTGTGTGCAGGCCCTCGAGGAGGAGTCACGGCCTGGCGAGCCAGCCAGGACGGGCTGACCTCATGTGCCTTTCCCACTTCTCATCTTTATGACTGGCTTCACTGTTCTGTTTTTGGCTCTCTCTTCCATTCTTGCAGCTGTGGTGACTGCGATTTAGGGCAAGCATTTGGGATCCCTTTTCTAATCCCTTTCAAATCCTGATTTAGCTGCTAAGTCCAGGAAGGGGGATGAGCAGGAGGGAGAGGAGGGACTCACCCCTGCCAAAGGCAGTAGCTCAGTGTATCTGGGAAATCCCAGCAGGAGGGCCCAGCTTCCACCCACTGAGGCTGGGGGCCCCCCTCATCTCATCCAGTATCTTCCACATCCCAGATACATGGAAGCAGTGAGCTCATCTGTGGACTGAAGCCTCGCACAGCCTCTTGCTTGGTGTTTGAGTCACAAGGACAGTAGTCATGGTGGTAAGAGGGAGATTTTACACGTGCCTTTTTTCCCAGTTTAACTGTCCTTGGTGGGAATGTGTCTTGGTTGGGTCCCTTTTTCTCCTTTTCCACAGTTGCCTCTCTGCTTGAGATCTTAGTCCATCTCCCATCCAGATGAATTCAACAACCTTGTGGATCAACTACCTGGCAACCCCCTACCAGACTCAATTGACTTGTATTACCTAACATGGGAGAGACAGGTCACATAATATGATGCTAAGGTGCTTTGTCACAGGTGGCATACTGTACAAGTCTCTCAGTCTGAATTTAAAGATCTTTCATAGGTGACTTCAGGCTATCCTCCCAACAAATTCCTGCCTGCAGCTCCTAGTGTTCCCTTTTCCAAGGTCTTCTCACATATTCTGTTGTTCAACACATTCACTCATCTTGGGCTTCTGTTCATGGGTCCCTCTCCATGAGCACCTTCTCTCCAATCCAAACACTGCATCCACAGGGCAGCTCATGGCCCGTCTCCTTGACCCCAGCACATCAGTATCCCTGTTCTCTTAACTGTCAGAACCACACAGTTTCATACTATCTGTTTGAAAGGCAGAGTAAAAGAGAGAGGTAGAAGGAGAGTCAGAGAGAGAGAGAGAGAGAGAGAGAGAGAGAGTCTTTCATCCACTTGCTCACTCCCCAAATGGCTGCAACAGCCAGGGCTGGGCCAGGCCAAAGTCAGGAGGCCAGACTCCATTCAGGTCTCCTACATGGGTAGCAGGGGCCTAAGTACTTGGGTCATCTTCTGCTGCTTTCCCAGGCACCAGGCACATTAGCAGGGAACTGGGTGGGAAATGGAGCAGCCAAGACTCAGACTGACGCCCCCATGTGAGTTACCAGCATCACGAGCATAGACAACCCGCTGTGCCACAACGCTGGCCTCACTAGTTACTTTTGCATTGTTCCATTGCAGCCTCTCCATATAGACTCTAAGCTTTTTGACATTGAGCCTTGTCCTAAGCTTCTGGTGTGTTCTTTGCCAAGCTTGAATGACATGTGCTAAATAACAAAGTAATTTTGACCCTGATTGGGTGTTTTCCCACCTAAAAATTGCATTGGTGACTTTCTAGAAATGAATATGTTCATTTATTTTGCAAAAAGAACTCCTATCCATTTGTAGCCAGTAGCCATGAGTGTGTATCCCCATATAACTTTCCTGAGGGGGGATGACAGTGGATGAAGACTGGAGGTTTGAAAGGTGCTCATCAGCCCCAGGACTTCCAACAACAGCCAGTCTGCACGGAGCCCCTGACTCACTTCTAATATGTTTGACCTCTCCTGTGTCCCCAGAGGGCTCCTGTGGGAATAAGCGAGCAGACCTGGTCTTCATCATCGACAGCTCCCGCAGCGTCAACACCCACGATTATGCAAAAGTTAAGGAGTTCATTGTGGACATCTTGCAGTTCTTGGACATCGGACCCGACGTCACACGGGTCGGCCTGCTCCAGTATGGCAGCACAGTCAAGAATGAGTTCTCCCTCAAGACCTTCAAGAGGAAGTCTGAGGTCGAGCGAGCCGTCAAGAGGATGAGGCATCTGTCCACGGGTACCATGACAGGGCTGGCCATCCAGTATGCTCTGAACATTGCATTCTCGGAAGCTGAAGGGGCCCGGCCCCTGCGGGAGAATGTGCCCCGCGTCATAATGATTGTGACAGATGGAAGGCCACAGGACTCAGTGGCGGAAGTGGCTGCCAAGGCACGGGACACGGGCATCCTGATATTTGCCATCGGTGTGGGCCAGGTGGACCTTAACACACTGAAGGCCATTGGGAGTGAGCCCCACGAGGACCACGTCTTCCTGGTGGCCAACTTCAGCCAGATCGAGTCGCTGACATCTGTGTTCCAGAACAAGTTGTGCAGTAAGTCTGCTCCTCTGGGGCTCTTCTGGGGGAATCTGTGGGATTCATTCATTCGCCTTCAAGTGTTTGCTCTGGGCTGCGCTGTCCCAGGTGCTGTAGCGGCAGTGGCTGTTCAGCAAAGACCAAGACAGACAAGTAACATTCTCTTGGGGGGCCTACGTTTAGGCCAGGGAGACAGATAATTAAGCATATTATTAGACAAACAAATAAGTAACATGGTGGGGGAAGCATCCAGAGTGTGATAGAGCAGATAACCAGTGCCTAACGTAGACCTAGGTGTTCGGGGAGCCTTCCCTGGGGAGGTGACATTTGAGCCCAAAGAGCAGAATGGGTAAGGGAAGACGGACTTTTTCTGTAGCACACTGAGCTGCCCTGAATTTCCCGAGTGGAAGGAGGGAGCAGAATGGGAGGACAGAAAGCACAACATAACCTCTCCCTGGATGATGCAGAGTACCACACATCTTTGCCCCTTGGTGATGTTAGCAGTTGATGCTCCTCAACCAACAAAGAGGCCCGTTGCACACTTTGGCAGTACAGATACTAAAATTGGAGTGATACTGAGGTTAGCCTGGCCTCTGTGCAAGGATGAGAACAAATTCATGAAGTGGTCTATGTATATTTAAGAAAAAAAAGAGGTCCAGCATATCAGTGCATGTAGGGGCCTAAGGTGTAGCTGTCACTCTCCCTTTTAGGGTGGCAGGTGCAGTTCACCACCCATGCCTGTTCAAGTCCTTGACTTACATGCTCTGCAAGAGCATTCTTTCCTCTCTAAATTTCTTTTTTTTTTTAAATTCTGAATTATCTAATCTTCATTGGAAAGATATTTGATAACTAGGCATTAGAATTGATAGTTTTAATTTTATTTATTTGAAAGGCAGAGTTACAGAGAAAGGGGATATATATATATATATATATACACATATACATATATATATGTGTGTATATATGTGTGTGTGTGTGTATATATATATATATATATATATATATATATACAGAGAGAGAGAGAGAGAGAGATATCTTTCATTCACTGGTTCACTCCCCAAGTGGCTGCAATGTCCAGGGATGGGCCTGGCTGAAGCCAGGAGATTCATCAAGGTCTCCCACATGAGTGCAAGGGCCCAAGCACTTGGACCATCCTCTGCTGCTTTCCCAGGCACACTAGCAGGGAGCTGGATCAGAAGTGGAGCAGCTGAAACTTGAATAGGTGCCTGTATACGATGCCCGCATTGCAGGAGGCAGCTTAACCCATTGCGCCACAATGCCGGACCCTCCTCTCTGGATTTTGAACCCTGTTTTCCACAAGGTGCATCCCGCCCTTCCTTCCCATACTCTCCCTAATGACCTCCAAGCCTAGCTCCTGCCTCCACTTTTCTCAGCAAGTCAATTTGCTCCCTCCCTTGTTTCCAGTTCCTGCAGTTGGCTTCTCGTGCCTTCCTCCAGGAGGGCAGGGGCCCAGAGTGCCAGCCCAGGTTCCCCCATCATCCCTGGAACCTGGAAAATTGCAACCTGACCTGGTAAACGGTGTCCGGTCCAGCTTTGTCCACTCCAGAGGCTCCTGTCCCCTCAAACGACCATGCTTCCCTGCTGGGGAAATAAAGGAGATTTCTATGGATAATGCCTGGTCCTGTTATAGAGTATGAGTGGAGAATGAGCTTAAGAGCCAAACTCCTCACCAGCACCCAGGAAGGGGAAATGGTCCTGCAGAAGTTTCAGAGAATGATCTCAGGATGTGACAAAGCCTCCTGCCCCATGGGGTAGGCCTCACGGGGCAAGAAGGAGGATGTGCTTTGGTGGATCTTTAAAAAACAAATCCTCTTGCCAAGAATGAACCTCAAAAGACAGACTCCAAGGCAGGTATTTGTCACAGTGGCTAAGCTGCCGCTAAGAACACCTGCATACTATGTTGGAGTCCCTGGGTTCAAGTCCCAGCTCTGCTCTCAACTTCAGCTTCCTGTCTATGTGCACCCTAGAGTCAGCAGGTAATGCCTCAAGTAGGTGGGCCCCTGCCACCCACATGGGAGACCTGGATGGAGGTTCTGGCTCCTGGCTTCAGCCTGGCCCAGCCGTGGCTGCTGTGGGCATTTGGGTAAATAGAAGATCCTTGTATGTTTTTGATTTTCAAATAAAAATTTTTTTAAAAGCAGACTTCTTTTTGGCTCCAGAATCCAAAGTTTTATTTTAAAAAATCAATACCATGAAGCAGAAATAACCTTTTTCTTTTCAGTGTCACTTGGAAAATGTTCAGAAGTGCTGTTCCCTGGCGCCACAGAGAGCCTGTGTTATTGTGGTGTGCAGGGCCCAAGACAACTGGAAAACTTCAATCAGTAGAACACGCTGCAAACATTTTTAAGGTTTATGACTTTAAATGACTTCTGCAGAATTTACGTTCCCCTTTCCTGGAAATATTAAAAAAAGAAATTGGTTCTGTAACAGTTTTGGAAAATGTTAATGGTGGAGTTCTTTTATAAGCACTGTGGATTTATCAGCAAATGGAAAGATAATCTGATTAGGCAGAGGAGCTACACAGCAAGACTGACCTCCTTATGGGTGAATGTGAACCTGTCCATGAAAAAACCTTCTCCATGTGCTTAATGGCAAGGCAGTACAATCAAGTATTTATTTATTTATTTAACTTATGTGAGAGGCAGAGAGATAGAGAGATAGTCCCTCTGCTGGTTCACTCTCCGAATGCTTGCAAAGCCAGGGCTAGAACTCAATCCGGGTGTCCCACATGGGCAGCAGGGATCCAACCACTTGAGCCATGGCCACTGCCTCCCAGACTGCATTAGCAGGAAGCTGGAATCGGGATGAGCTGGGACTCAAACCCAGGTACTCTGATATGGGACGTGGGTGTCCCATGCAGCATCTCAGCGGCTACACCGCACCCCTGCTCCAGCAAGGCTGCAGAAGTAACAGGAAGTTTGGATGTGTAGGGGAAAGGGGCACAGAACAGAGAGAAGACAGGCTATGAACTTGCAGCCAGAATGAATTTATTCAAGAAAAATACATTTCCGGGGGCTAGGCCTTATATATCTTAGGGTGGGCTAAGGGTCCAGAGGAGGGAGGGGGCAGTAGTTGGAGATGAATTTCTCCATACAGGTTTTTCAGATTTCTCATGGGCTTTCAAACCTGGAAAAGAATGCAAGGGGTGGGGTGGGGAATGATAGAGGCTAAGCGGGTCTCTTGAAAGAAGGCAGGAGTAAGGGGTAAAAGGGAATTTTATTTGCTTTCAGGCAAGGAGCTGTAATGGCGGAGGCTTATGTCCTTGTTCCATCAGGATGCACCAGCCCCCCAGCCCCATCATCTTTGATGTAATCTGGAAGCTCTAAGAAAACTTGGGGAGTGGGGTGCTGCTTTGTGGTATAATAGGTTAAGCTGCCATCTGTAGTGCTGGCATCCCAGTAAGGGTGCCAGTTCAAACCCCAGCTGCTCCACTTTTAATCCTGCTCCCTGCTGATGTGCCTGGGAAGACAGTGGAAGATGGCCCAAGTGCTTGGGCCCCTGCTCCAGGCTCCTGGCCTCAGCCTGGCCCAGCCAGGCTGCAGCCATCTGGGGAGTGAGCCAATGGATGGAAGACTCACTCTCTCTCTCTCTCTCTCCCTCCTTTTCTGTCTGTAACTCTGCCTTTCAAATAAGTAAAGAAATCCCTTTAAAAAAAAAAAGGAGAAAAAAAAAAAAAAAACAAAGAAAAGAAAACCAGAAAACGTGGTATTTTCCCAGTTGTTCGTGTGGCTGAGAAATGGAGCCCCGGGAGTGTGCCATCCGCTGTGTGGGGTGCAGCCGCCCTCCCTGCTCCTCTGGGCTCTGCAGAGCAGACTCATCCACTCTCTTGAAAGGTTGAGGAGGCCCCAGGGCCTCTTTATCTGCTGCGCAGTAAAGACTGCAATAACGAACACTTACTAAACACTTTCCCTTAGGACTTTGCATTTGAGCCTCATGGAAAGCTGGGGAGGCAGCACCACCCTGCCTCTCCCTTTTTACAGGTTAGCGCCCTTGCTCAGCACATCATGCAAGAACAAACAGGCAGGAGACCGAAGGGCTCATTCCACTCCTCGGCATGTTGGGAATTATAAATTCCTTTTTAATGTGAACCATTTTCTGATGGTAATCTCCATGCTCCAGCCTTGCCAGGCAAACCAGGCTTTGCAGTTGGCATTCACTGAGGTGGGTACAACTCTCGGGGGAAAACTTTGCAGGGTGAGTAGGAGCAGACCCCAGCTGTAGAATGCAGAGTGAATCCATTTGCTCCCTCTCCTTCAGTTGCCTCATCTGTAAAATGGGGATTTTATAAGCAGAGAGGGGAGGTGTGAGCAGGTGCTTTAAACTGAAGAGCCCTATTCATTGTGCTCCATGTCATGTGTGATCACAATCAAATACACTGAACCACAGGCTTGGCAAAGGGGCTCAGTTTTGAGCTGTACACCGATGACCAGATAACAGTGATGAGCATCTTCCAAGTTGCAAGTGACAGTTCTGAGGTGGTTTTAATTAATTGATTTGGAAGGCAGAGAGAGAGAGAGCAGGAGACACACACACACACACACACACACACAGAGAGAGAGAGAGAGAGAGATCTTCCATTGTCTGTTCGCTCCCCAAATGACTGCAACAGCCAAGTCTGGGCCAAGCCGAAGCCAGGAACCAGGAATTCCCACGTGGCTAACAGGGACCCAAGTACTTGGGCAGTTTTCTGCTGCCTCCCCAGGTGCATTCGCAGGGAGCTGGATTAGAAATCAAGACAGCTGGCACTGCGGCTCACTAGGCTAATCCTCCGCCTTGTGGCGCCGGCACACCGGGTTCTAGTCCCGGTCAGGGCGCCGGATTCTGTCCCGGTTGCCCCTCTTCCAGGCCAGCTCTCTGCTGTGGCCTGGGAAGGCAGTGGAGGATGGCCCAAGTGCTTGGGCCCTGCACCCCATGGGAGACCAGGATAAGTACCTGGCTCCTGCCATTGGATCAGCGTGGTGCGCCGGCTGCAGCGCACCAGCCGCGGCGGCCATTGG